GGCGGCCTTCTGTCTCAAGTGTACACAGGCCGCGGCGGCGCGGACAGCGAGTCCTGTTCAAAATGAACAAGAACTGCTGTTGAGCATTGTACCCATTCTTTCCGTGCCCATCTCGTTCATGCAGAAGGTCTGGCATGTCCCCCCACAGGCGGACGTTGGACGACCACTCAAAAGCATTCAAAACAGTACTCGAGAATAGTCGGAAAACCGTCCCTGGACGATTCGTTCTATTATGTCTGAATACTCCTCCTGCAGAGGGACATGCCCGACTTAACCCCAGGGCCCGAGGCCGGAGAAAAGCACCCGCGTCCTGGCCTCTGCTGCGCGGCGCCCGGACCTGGGCCCCAACGGGCGCCTCCTCGTGTGCCGTGCTGCTGCTGCCATCCTGTGCCCTGCTTCCACGGCGGCGCACCCCAATGAGGCAAGCGCACATCCCCCGAGCTTGCCACCTGCCGCGCGCAGCCGAACACGACTGAAACACCTGGGACTGGCCCGGCGCGCCCCTGGCCAGCACAGGGCAGCGCCGGAGTCGCCGTGGCCCGAGCTGCAGGCGCAGTGACGCTGCAGCTGCAGAGGGGAGGACGGGCCGCCTGCCGGCCGGCCGGGCACCACCGCTGTGCGTTTCAGGGCGGAGGCCAGCAGGAGCAAGAGCTTGGGCAGGAGAGGGCGGAGGAGTGCAGGAGAAAGGAGGAGTTGGAGGCCTGGACCTTGGCACCAGCACCAACACAGGGGGGGGGGGCTCCACAGGGAGAGGATGATCCTGGATTCCAGCGTTGGTGGCAATACTTCGCTCACCTTGGGAGCCAGAATATGACCACCATCCCCGAGATCGGGACCGTCCGTTCCCTCGGTGAAGGCACACCTCCGATATGGGTGTTGGTGTCAAATTCGAGGCCTGCGGAGGAAGGCAGAGGAGGAGAAAGGAGGAGGAGGAGGAGGAGGAGGAGGAGGAGGAGGAGGAAGACGTGTCTCTGGCGTGAGCGCCCCTTTTCTGCGGCGCCGGAGGGCGGCGCTGGGATCCTGCGGTGCGCAAAGCAACAGAGAGAAGGAAGCCGCAGGGCCCGCGCGAGGCGAGCTTTGTACACCAGGGCGGCGCGCGCTGGCAGCTGCAGCCACCCGCAGGGGGGGCCAACTGATGAGCTGGGTCACTCGGTCACGCGCTCCGCGCCGCGCTGCGCAGCTCCCTCTGGCCCCCACCCCCTGGACCGGAGGGAGAAGGGGGGGAGGGGAGGGATGGGAGGGGGGGGGCAGGGGAGTACGATCTCCCTCTCCATCGTCCCCGCTCCTCCCCGCCTCCATCGTCCCCGCTCCTCCTTCCTCCTGCTCTTATACCTGCTGTCCCCCTCCTCCGTCACTCATGTTCCTAATGACTAACTCCTCACTGTCGCACCCCGAGGCCAGTCGGAAGGGCGGGCAGGGCGCTTCGCCTGAGACTTCCTTACCACTGATGAGCCTGAAGCTTACAAACTGGCAACAGCTTCACAGATGGAGATTGAGTGGTTTTCAACATGTGGCTCTCGTTTTAGCACCACGCACCTTTGTTTAAAACAAGACTTTCACGGATTGAGGACAGGTTGCTTTCAAAATGTGACTCTAACCTAAGCGTCGCACACAGTCGTCTGAAAAAAAAATAGGCGTTTCGCATATTGAGGGCGGGTCGTTTTCAAAATGTGGCTCTCGCTTTAGCGCCGCGCACATTCGTCGCAAGAGCTTCACGGATTGAGGACGGTTCCTTTTCAAAATGCGGATCTCGCCTTAGCGCCGCGCACATTCGCTTCAAAAGTGCACTAGCGTTTCACGGGTTCTCATGACGAACGTACCAGAAATAGTGTTTGAGAACGATTCAGGACTGTCACGGCGCAGCAGTTACGTTAGTTCGCGGTGCTGAAGTCCCAGGAATGGTGTTCTGGCATGATTCAGGTTCGTCAAGAGGCAACAGTCAGGTTGACTCGTGGCGTTGAAATCCTGAGAATGGTGTTTTGGCACGCTTCCAGAGTTGCACGGGGTGTATTCCAACATCGTTGATGAGTCTTGGGTTTGCACTGGTCTCCCTCCTCCTCCTCCTCCTCCTCCTCCTCGTCATCCTCCTCCTCCTCATCATCATCATCCTCCTCCTCCTCCTCCCCCTCCTCCTCCTCCTCCTCCAACCATCCCCCTTCTCTTCCTCCGCCTCCTCCTGTTTCTCCTCCTCCTCCTCCTCCTCCTCCTCCTCCTCCCTCCTCCTCCTCCTCCTCCTCCTCCTCCTCCTCCTCCTCCTCCTCCCCCTCCTCCTCCTCCTCTCCGCTTATCATTATCCCCCTGCCGCCTCTTCCTCTTCCTCCCCCTCTTGCATCCCTCCTCTGTCGACGCCGCCGCCGCCGCCGCCGCCGCCGACGCCGACGACGACGCCGACGCCGACGCCGACGCCGACGACGAAGACGCCGCCGCCGCCGCCGCCGATGCACGCGCTGGCGGCGACGGCACCCTCCCGCGGAACCGGCGCGGGGGGGCCCGGGCGCGCTCAGCCCGGGCGCGAGGCCAGCTGGACGAGCGAGACGCAGGCCTCCCGGTGGGCCTTCTCGGGACGCAGAAGGACATACGGCAGGCCCGTGCCGTGCAGACTTCGGCGTTGGTTTCGTTAGGGGGCCACATGCGAACCCTACCCCTGCCCCCCATGATTGCTGAGGGGGAGGGTGGGGTTCACTTCGCTCGGAAGCTCTCGAACGAAGTGACCCCCACCCTCCCCCTCAGAAATCGTGGGGGCAGGGGAAGGGTTCGCATGTGGCCCCCTATTCGTGACACCGCGGGGAGCGGTCAACCTTGAACGATCGGCCGTTTCCGAGGCGCCAGATCGTTCGACGTCGACAGATTCTGGGTCGCCGGCGGCATTCAATGTTGAGCGCCGGCAGCGGGGTCGCCCCCGGTCGGCACGACGCGAACCTACCGTTAGGTCGGGCATGTCCCCTTACAGGCCGATTGTGGACGAAACATTGACAATACTCCAAAAACATCTTCAAATAGTCAAAAAGTGCTCAAAAAATATCGTCCCCAGACCATTATTTGACTATTTCTGAACATTCCTCCTGGAGAGGGAGAGGCCCGCCTGAAACCTACCGTACTAGAACTATGAGCGCAAACATCGTCTAGTGGGTCGTTGGCCAGGCGACATGGCCAGAGAGAGGGCCCGCCACCGAGCACAGGCCATCTGCCCTCGTGCCTGCACGGAGTGGGCGTGCTTCGGGGATGGACAGACCCCCCTTTAGCAAAACATGGTGTAGTGAAAGCGACCTCGGGCACAAACCTGGCGGGCGCAAGCCTGGGGAAACGCCGGCCGCGGCGCCCTCTGGAGAACCGGAAACGGCCAATTCTTGAATCGACGCGTCAGGGCAGGAGATAGATATATATATATATATATATATATATATATATATATATATATATATATATATATATATACAGCGCAAACATCGTCCAATGAGTCGTTGGCCGGGCGACATGGCCAGAGAGAGCCGCCACCGAGCACAGGCCATCTGCCCTCGTGCCTGCACGGAGTGGGCGTGCTTCGGGGATGGACAGGCCCCCCTTTAGTAAAACGTGGCTTAGTGAAGGCGACCTCGGGCACAAACCTGGCGGGCGCAGGCCTGGAAAACGACGGCCGCGGCGCCCTCTGGAGAACCGGAAACGGCCAATTCTTTAATCGACGTGTCAGGGTAGGAGGTATGTATATATATATATATATATATAATATATATATATATATATATATATATATATATATATATTACAGCGCAAGCATCGTCCACGGAGTCGTTGGCCAGGCGATGTGGCCAGAGAGAGGGCCCGCCACCGAGCACAGGCTATCTGCCCTCGTGCCTGCACGGAGTGGGCGTGTTGGAATACTCCGCATCGCTCAATGATCGCCCCCCCCCCTTGGAGTGCCTCGGGGGGGGCTTGAGCGCGGCGCGTCCGCGGGGGTGCCCAGGGGGGGGAGAGCGTGCTGCGCACGGAACGAAGTCAGTGGAGATCAGTTGCGGTGGATCCGTGAGTGGATCGATCTAGACTGATGAGGCTCTGATGCTGACTACCTACCAGACCACCCCAACCCATCCCGAAGACCCGAATTGGACCCGAATTTCGGCTTGGGGGGGGTACGGATGCCATGTGTTCTTTCAACGTTCCCCGACCCCCCCCCCCACTGGAAATGGAAGGCAAATTGAAGGCTTCGGGTTGGGTTGGGGTGGTTTGGTGGGCGGTGAGATGCCTCTTCTGCTTTTGAGCCGGCTATGATGCCCGCTCGTGCCCACCCCGTCCCGTCTTCAGGGGCTTCGCATCCCCCGACGACGGTAAGATGGGAAGACGGGCCGCCGCCCCTGGCACTGCACGTACGGTGCCAGGTCTGTGGGGATTTGGTTCGACCCCCGCAGTACCAATGATGGAAACTGCGAGGGGTGTGAGGCCGCGCCGCGTTTTCACGTTTGTTACCCCCCGGCTGAGTAATCATAAGTTCGGAGTAGTAATCTTCTGCTGTCCGTAAGGTTCTTTAACGTCTTCTCGGGTCGCCCCCCTATCGCGCGAGCCCCAGGCAAACCGCAAAGGCCCCCCCTCTCCGGAGCCGACGTTGGGAAACTTCCCATACTGCATGTCAGAGTGAGGGGGGGTGTCCGAATATCAAATCACCGGCGACCGGGTCCCCAGGCCCGGGAGGGGGGGGGCACTTTTCCAAAACTCCCCCCCCCCACAGGGGCCTCCGAGACGGCCTCCGAAGGCGCCCTTCGGGCCAAGAGCGCTCCGAGACAGCCCAAGAGGCCCCCGAGAGATCCGAGAGACCCGATCGTCGTGTCGTTTTTGTTCGGCGTGGCAGCTTGCTGGGCCCTCCGACCCTCCGAAACGACGGCCCCCCGGAGGCCCCCCAGGTCGATCCAAGACGGCCCCAGAGGAAGAGGGCCGCAAGGAGCCCTCCACAAGAGTTCCGAGAGGGGGGAAAGCGAATCGGCAGGTGGATCCTCCTCCCCCCGAGGATGAGCTCCGAGACCGCCTCGGCAGACCCCCGAGCGCCCCCGGGGGCCCCCGGAGTCCCAAAACGCCCCCAGGAGGCCCGGGAGGTCCCGGAGAGGCCGCGCACCATTTTTTGGTCTGCGGGGCGAGAGCGGACCTCTTCCGCTAAAAGCTATAGGCGGGCGACGCACAAAAAAAAGGCCGCGCACAAGCCTCCAAGAGACCCCCGAAAGGCATGAAAGAGGCCCCCAAAGAGACGTCTAAGAGGCCTCTGGCCCGCTACCCAAGTTAGGCAAAAGGCCACTAGAGATCGGCGTTTGGAAACCCCGGAAAACCACGAACTACATTCAAATAGCAGTGATTCATCATCGGGCCGCGCGACACGCTTTGCACACAGATGGTCCGCCCCCCTAGTGTCGGAGCGCACTGAGCGCATTCTCCGAGTTAGTCCGAGCGAAGGAAAGGCCAAGGGAAGACCCGCAGACCGGCTGCATCGCTCAGTCCCCAGAGCAACGGGAAGCGCAAAGTAAACCACTGTCCGAAAGCAGGAAAGCAGTCGGTGCCTGCTCCTCGTCGGGGCTGCACTCGGGGGCAAAGGCGCCAATCATGGGTGACCGTCGCGCGGCCCTAAACGGCCCAAGAGCACCCGAAGACGGCCTCGACAGGTCCCAAGGCCGAAGCGAGCTCCAGGCCACCGGGAGCCAGCAGCTCAGCCAGCACAGCCCATACGCGAGCGTACCCTCCTGCTCGTGACATTTGTTCCCAACCATCCTGTGGAGTTGGGTCCACGTTTGGAAGAGACAGCGCCCCACGTTCCTTCCTTCCTTCCTCTCCTCCCATCCGTGCCTCTGCCCTCCGCATGTCCACCATTCCAGGACACCCCCACACGATTCGTGGCCACATAGAGAGCTCCACCTAAGGCTCCAGTGGGATGGTTCGCATAACACCACCGCACCCACTTCGGCACACCCCTCACACGGTTTGTGGCCCCATAGGGAGCTCCACCAGAGGCTCCAGTGGGAGGGCTCGCATGGCACCACCGCACCCAATTCGGCACACCACTCAAACGTCTCGTGGCCCCATAGGGAGCTCCACCGAAGCCTCCAGTGGGAGGGTTCGCATGGCACCACTGCGCCCAATTCGGCACACCCCTCACACGGTTCGTGGCCCCATAGGGAGATCCACCGAAGGCTCCGATGGGAGGGTTCGCATGGCACCACAGCGCCCAATTCGGCGCACCCCTCAAAAGGTTCGTGGCCCCATAGGGAGCTCCACCGAAGGCTCCGGTGGGAGGGTTAGCATGACACCACCGCACCCAATTCTGCACACCCTTCTCCCAGCGCGTGGCCCCATAGGAAGCTCCACCGAAGGCTCCAGTGGGAGGGCTCGTATGGCACCACCGCATTCAATTCGGCACACCCCTCACACGGCTTGTGGCCCGATAGGGAGCTTCACCGGAGGCTCCGGTGGGAGGGTTCGCATTACACCACCGCGCCCAACTTGGCACACCCCTCACAAGGCTCGCGGCCCCATAGGGAGCTCCACCGGAGGCTCCAGTGGGAGGACTCGCATGGCACCACCGCACCCAATTCGGCACACACCCCACACGCTTCGTGGCCCCATAGGGAGCTCCACCGAAGGCTCCAGTGGGAGGGTTCGCATGGCACCACCGCACCCATTCGGCACACCCCGCACACGGTTCGTGGCCCCATAAGGAGCTCCACCAAAAGCGGTACCCACAATGCGGTACTCGCAGCTGCGTGTGGTTGGGGGGTCCTTCGTCAGGCTAATTTTTGTGGGGGGCAAGCTCTACAGTAGATAGTGCCACCAGCTAGGCTCACAGATCATCTCGGAGGAGGCTCACTACCAACGTCACTACCAACGAACTTTCCCCAAGTCGCTTGAGCGATCACATTGATACCCGCTCAGCGGGCTGGAAGACCGATCAAACCCGCATATCCGCCATCGTGCCCTAGAGGCACGAATTGAAAAGCCCTCAGCTCCTTCACCGATCCGGGACGTAAGACTACACCCTCTGAAGGGCTCGGGAACTCTGGGGCCGCACAGAGAGGATAAGACATTGGAGGATGCCTGGAGCGCGCGCGCCGTCTTCCAACTGCGCGCGTTGTCCAGTACAGTAGCTTGGACAGTACCCCAGATTTCGTAATAAAGGGAGGGGGGTCTCATTTCGGGGGGGGGTCTCTTCCAGGCTATCTTGGAGGGCCTGGGGGGGTCTGGGGACGATGTTTTGGAGGGTTCTCCCACGGGGGGGGTCTAAAACTTCTCGTCTGGGAGGGTTGAGACCCCCTCCCTTTTATTACGAAATCTGGAGTAGCTCGGCGGTCAGAAAGTGCAGGCCTTCTCAGCAGGCGGCGGGGCTTCTCACAGCCCTCCGGCCTTCTGAGAAGCCCTCCGTGGCTTCGGAGAAGGCTTGGAAAGCTCCTCGGAATGCCGGAGGCCTTCGGAGCCTCCTGAGAAGGAGGAGGAGGAGGAGGAGGGGGAGGAGGAGGAGGAGGAGGAGGAGGAGGAAGATTCAAGAATAGACAGGGGCGCAGAGAGGAGGAGGTGGTGGAGGAGGAGGCGGAGGTGGCTCTGCCTTCCCCCCCCGGGGCGAGCCGCCGAGTAGCACGCTGATGGGGTCGGCTGGCCGGCGTGGCATTGGCACCGTTTCTTTGATATGAAGGGGCCCAGGGACACACAAACAAATACACACAAATAAAAATGACCCCCCATATGTTCTCATACTTTCTGGGTATTTGTCTTCCCCCCCCAAGTCCCAGATCTTCCCATCTTTTCCTGGGGAATCGCCGATGAATTGTGTCTGTGTGTGTGTCTCCTTCCCTCCTGACGATGGCCGACCTTCCAGTCCATCCTCTGGCACTCCCGCCCGCAGTAGTGCACCGCCCTGCACCGCCCGCACTGCAGCGCGGGGCCCCTCGCGCCGCAGGCGGCGCACCCCCGCGCGGCGCCGGGCGCCGCCGGCGCGTCGAAGGCGTCGCAGCCGAGGAGGGAGACCACGTACTTGGTCCAGATCTCCCAGGGGAGGACGCTCGGCAGCGAGCCCTCGATCTGGTTCATCCAGTACAGCAGCACCACGGTCCTCGCGGAGGGGAGGAGGAAGAGGAGGAGGAGGAGGAGGAGGAGGAGGAGGAGGAGGAACGAGGAGGAGGAGGAGGAGGAGGAGGAGGAGGAGGAGGAGGACGAACCGACGCTTCGGCACGAGCTCTTGAGAGGCAAATCCTACGACGTCGACGCCTACCCCGCAAAACGAAGATCAAGTACGTGCACGCCCTCTCGACTGCCTCATTGACCTTCAACCATCACGTCTGGCCAGCACTGACCCAGACTGACCACCAGCGCATCTCCAATGCCTACTCGAAGCCCTATCGCACGGCAGCTGGATTACCCAAAGCAAACTCGCAGCTTCATCATTTCACGGCCACCGAAGTAGTAGCTTATACTGGCATCCCCGACTTCGACCACCACCAGTCTGCTGGACGGCTGAGATACTTACCACGGCTTCTACGACACGCTCCTCAGCAGCTCCTCCAACTGCTTGACAACCAGCGACGGAGAAAGGGCTCATGGACATACATGCTTTTCCAGGACTTCGACTTCCTGCGCACATACCTGGACGACCAGCGCTGGCCCACGACCAGCAAGCTCGACTCCGACGTTTTTACATGGGCTCGCACCACGCCGAAGCACTTCACCAACTCCGTCAACCTGGCCGTCACAAACTACATCCGCGCCTCCAAAGACCACGCCCACGCCGACAAGTTGACCAAGGTGCTCAGACCCGACGGTTCCATTGGTGCGGGCCTCACGCCATCACGCGACAACGGCGCCAGCAACTTCATCTGCTACGAGTGTGGAATCGTTACCAAGACCAAGCAGGGCATGGCAATACATATCGGACGTGAACACCGACGACCTGATCATCCGCGAAACTGGGCATCGGGTACATCGTGCAGAATATGCCGCCAGAACTTCCACTCCTTCGCCAAGCTAGTGAAGCATCTAACTACAGTCGCCCGCTGCCGGCGGTCATGGCACCTGTGGTATTTACAAGGACCTGCCCTCACGGAGGAGGAGGTGGCCACCAATCAGGCGACCTACGCGGCCAGCATAGCCGACAACAAACGCAGAGGCCGCCCCGAGCTATACCACCCTATCCCTGCCCATGCATCCGACGTCACTCCCTTACCCTCCCTTGACCTATCACCTTCACCACCGCCATTCTTCCCGACTGTACCAGCGCTTACACCACCACCACCAGCCTACTACCCTCGGACACCGACCAGAAACAGATCTCTGCTTTACCTCACCAACACCGATAGACACCCGAACGATCTGCTCGACATTACGGACCAACGACTATGCTACAATGGAATGGTGATGGAACGGGTTACTCTGACCTTCGATGAACTCTACTCTGTCGATCACCCATCCCAGTACGACGCCCTCGACTCGATCCACCAGTACATTCGACAAGGCGACTTCGCGGGAGTGATGATAAACCTCTCACCCAGCACTTGGATCGACCAAGTCGATGGCGACCCGCACGACAGAACGGCAGCATCTTCCAGAACGACCACGGACCCTTGGGGCAGAGTAAACCTTGGAGGTGAGGCAGCCGAACGTCGACTGATCGCGAACCACCATGCCCGCCTCGCCATCCACACCTTCCATGCTGCTCACGTTGCCGAAGTACCAGCACTACTAGCGCAATCCGCAGCCCCAGCAGGTCCGTCAGTGATGTGGAATACTGAGCTGATGTTCTACGCTACGGAGAATCTTGCTACGAGACGACCGACCATGGTAGACGCCACCAGCAGCCTCTACGCCATCTACTGCGGCCTCTCCCAGGAATACGGCAATCCCCTCGACGATTTCGTCACCTCCATTTTGGGCAGTCTGCCCCAGCTTGAGGTCGGACAGCAGCCTGCTGATCCGACGACCCGATCTGGCCGTAACATGGCCCATGATGGTCGAGACAGGCGCCCACCACGGCAAGACGACCGTAGCGCTCAAGGTGGCCGCCTGCCCCATCCTGGACGCCCCCTCGAGGGCGAGGGGGGGGAGGACACGGTTCAGGCCTGACCGACCTGGGCCGCCGCCTGCGTGCAGGCCGTCATGGGGGTGGTTTCCCTTCCTCCTCAGGCCTTTAATGAGCCCCCTCTTCCCGCTCCATCTTGCCACCCCCATGCGGCCTCTCCCTTATCCTCCATCAAGTCATCCTCTTCGTCCCCGAAACTCTTGGGCCCGTTTTCTCGGTCCTTTCGGCCCCCGCCCCTCCCCTTTCGAAGCCTAGGCGGCTTTCCCTTTGTCCTCCTGGCGGGGGTCTGTGTCGGGGGGTGGTCCCCCCTACGCGCTTCGGGCGCGCGCGCGTAGCTCGGGCCGCGCGGACGGCTGCGTCCGACAGGACATCGAGCCGATAGCGATAGCGATAGGAGGAGGAGGAGGGGGAGGAGGAGGAGGAGGAGGAGGAGGAGGAGGAGGAGGAGGAGGAGGGGGAGAAGGAGAAGCCATGCGCTCTCGGAGGTCCGCGCGGACCGCCTGGGTCGGCGCTCCACCCCGGCCCCCCCCCCTCGACCCAAATTCCAGGGCGCGCTCCGGCGCCGCCCACGGCTGGCGCGGAGGGGGGTTGAGCGCGCCAGCCCAGAAGAACTCCGCGCGGACCTCCGAAAGCTTATCTTCACTGCGAGGCGGGGATTCATGCACACACACACACACACACACACACACACGCACGCACAGCTTGGGAAACTGGTCTCCTGGAGACCCAGGGCGGCGGTGGACATGGAGACCCCGTCGAGGAGGAGGAGGAGGAGGAGGAGAAGGAGGAGGAGGAGGAGGAGGAGGAGGAGGAGGGCCCAAACATGTCTATCCACCGCCTCCCGAGGGCCAGGAAGATCGGTTTCCCAGGCGGCGAACGCGGACCCAGACATGCGATGTCTTGATTTTGCTCCTCACGCAGACCCCCAAATGCCTCAACCCATTCCCCAGGACTGACGCCTTACGCCGTGATTTTTCCCTGGAAGGGGCGCCGGCCCAGGGTTCTTTTTTAGTGGGTTTACCCCGCGGCCTCGACTTGAAGGAGGCCAGCGGAATTATTCGCTATAAATAACTAAGTAAAATATTTGTCCCAACCATCCTGTGGTGTTGGGTCCTCGTTTTGAAGAGACTCTCCTCCTCCTCTCCTCCTCCTCCTCCCCCTCCTCCCTCCTCCCTCCTCCATTTCGGCACACCCCTCACACGTTTCGTGGCCCCATAAGGGAGCCCCACCGACGGCCCCAGTGCTGCCGCCCGCATGCGTCACGCACACCCTATTCGGCACACCCCTCACACGTTTCGTGGCCCCATAGGGAGCCCCACCGAAAGCCCCAGTGCTGCCGCCCGCATGCGTCACGCACACCCAATTCGGCACACCCCTCACGCGTTTCGTGGCCCCATAGGGAGCCCCACCGAAGGCCCCACTGCTGCCGCCCGCATGCGTCACGCACAGCCAATTCGGCACACCCCTCACACGTTTCGTGGCCCCATAGGGAGCCCCACCGAAAGCCCCAGTGCTGCCGCCCGCATGCGTCACGCACACCCAATTCGGCACACCCCTCACACGTTTCGTGGCCCCATAGGGAGCCCCACCGAAGGCCCCAGTGCTGCCGCCCGCATGCGTCACGCACACCCAATTCGGCACACCCCTCACACGTTTCGTGGCCCCATAGGGAGCCCCACCGAAGGCCCCAGTGCTGCCGCCCGCATGCGTCACGCACACCCAATTCGGCACACCCCTCACACGTTTCGTGGCCCCATAGGGAGCCCACCGAAGGCCCCAGTGCTGCCGCCCGCATGCGTCACGCACACCCAATTCGGCACACCTTTTCGTGGCCCCATAGGGAGCCCCACCGAAACCCCATGCTGCCGCCCGCATGCGTCACGCACACCCAATTCGGCACACCCCTCGCACGCTTCGTGGCCCCATAGGGAGCCCCACCGAAAGCCCCAGTGCTGCCGCCCGCATGCGTCACGCACACCCAATTCGGCACACCCCTCACACGTTCGTGGCCCCATAGGGAGCCCCACCGAAGGCCCCAGTGCTGCCGCCCGCATGCGTCCCGCACACCCATGTTTCGTGGCCCCACCCCACCCCCACACCCGCATGCGTGCAGTCACACGTTTCGTGGCCCCATAGGGAGCCCGTGCTGCCGCCGCAAGGCACACCCCTCAGTTTCGTGGCTCCACCGAAGGCCCCAGTGCTGCCGCCCGCATGCGTCCCGCACACCCAATTCGGCACACCCCTCACACGTTTCGTGGCCCCATAGGGAGCCCCACCGAAGGCCCCAGTGCTGCCGCCCGCATGCGTCACGCACACCCAATTCGGCACACCCCTCACACGTTTCGTGGCCCCATAGGGAGCCCCACCGAAGGCCCCAGTGCTGCCGCCCGCATGCGTCCCGCACACCCAATTCGGCACACCCCTCACACGTTTCGTGGCCCCATAGGGAGCCCCACCGAAGGCCCCAGTGCTGCCGCCCGCATGCGTCACGCACACCCAATTCGGCACACCCCTCACACGTTTCGTGGCCCCATAAGGGGGCCCCACCGAAGGCCACGCCGCCGCACGCGTCACGCACACCCAATTCGGCACACCCCTCACACGTTTCGTGGCCCCATAGGAGCCCCACCGAAGGCCCCAGTGCTGCCGCCCGCATGCGTCACGCACACCCAATTCGGCACACCCCTCACACGTTTCGTGGCCCCATAAGGGAGCCCCCCACCGAAGGCCCCAGTGCTGCCGCCCGCATGCGTCCCGCACACCCAATTCGGCACACCCCTCACACGTTTCGTGGCCCCATAGGGAGCCCCACCGAAGGCCCCAGTGCTGCCGCCCGCATGCGTCCCGCACACCCAATTCGGCACACCCCTCACACGTTTCGTGGCCCCATAGGGAGCCCCACCGAAGGCCCCAGTGCTGCCGCCCGCATGCGTCCCGCACACCCAATTCGGCACACCCCTCACACGTTTCGTGGCCCCATAGGGAGCCCCACCGAAGGCCCCAGTGCTGCCGCCCGCATGCGTCCCGCACGTGCGGCACACCCCTCACACGTTTCGTGGCCCCATAGGGAGCTGCACCGAAGGCCCCAGTGCTGCCGCCCGCATGCGTCACGCACACCCAATTCGGCACACCCCTCACACGTCTCGTGGCCCCAGGGAGTTCCACCGAAGGCCCCAGTGGCGGCGTTCACATGCGCATGCGTCCCGCACACCCTTTTCGGCACATCCCTCACAGGTTTCGTGGCCCCATCATCCACCGGAGGCCCCAGTGGCGGCGCTCACATGCGTCACCCACACCCACCCAATTCGGCACACCCCTCACACGTTTCGTGGCCCCATAAGGGAGCCCCCCACCGAAGGCCCCAGCGGCCGCGCTCACATGCGTCCCCGCCACCCATCCCGGCACGCCCCTCACAACAACAGGTTTCGTGGCCCCATAGGGAGCTCCACCGAAGGCCCCAGTGGCACCGCCCGCATGCGTCACCCCCCGCACCCAATTCGGCACACCCCTCACACGTTTCGTGGCCCCATAACGGAGCCCCACCGAAGGCCCCAGTGGCGGCGCTCACATGCGTCCTCGCCACACATCCCAGTACACCCCTCACGCGCTTCGTGGCCCCATAGGGAGCTCCACCGAAAGCCCCAGTAGCGGCGCTTACATGCGTCTCCGCCACCCATCCCGGCACCCCCCCCGCAGCAGCATCATGTTTCGGGGACCCATAGGGAGCTCCAATGGAGGCCCCAGTGGCGGCCCTCACATGCGTTTCCGCCACCCATGTCGGCACGCCCCGCGCGTGTTTCATGTCCCCACAGGGAGCTTCGCCGAATGCCCCAGTGGCACCCATCTCGGCACACCCCTCACACGTTCCGTAGTCCTATGGGGAGTTCCACTGAAGATGAAACCCGCAGCTGCGGTACTGACAACTGCACATGGTTGGGTTCTTCGCCAGGCTAATGTTTGTTTTTGAAGAAAGGCGTTTCGCGCGTGCCATCTCGAGGACAATGTGCCCCCTATGTCGCATCCCCCCTTGAAATAAAAACGGGGTGCAGAGCGTTTTGCGCAGAGTCAGCGATAAAACACTTGGTCTGGAGGCTTTGGAAATTCTGATAAATTTGAATATCTGAACTTCTTGTGTGCCCGCTCGAGGATGGCGCGCCCTGCGCGCCAAATATCTGAGGATGTCTCGCGCGAAACGCTTGTCTCGTTGAACTTGAGAGGCCTGGACGCCCCGAGATGCCCAGGTGGTTCTGGGAGCCCGAACACAGCATAATTTACTTGAGAACGTGGCCCTGGGAGCGCGGACACAACGTAATTCACAAGGGAGCGCGGCCCTGGGAGCGCAGACGCAGCATAGTTTACGAGGGATCGGCTCAGGGAGAGCGGACGCAGCGTAATTTACTAAGGATCGTGGCCCTCGGAGCGCGGACACAGCGAAATTTACAATGGATCGTGGCCCTGGGAGCGAGGAGCAGCTTGATTTGCTAGGGATACTGGCCCTGGGGGGGCGGACACAAAGTAATTTGTCAAGGATCCTGCCCCTGGGGGCGCGGACACAGCATAAATGACGAGGGATCGTGGCCCTGGTTGTGCGGACGCAGCGTAATTTACAAGGGTCGTGGCCTTGAGAGCGCGAACCCAATGTAATTCACGAGGGATCGTTGCACTCGGAGCGCGAACCCAGTGCAATTTACGAAGGACCGTGGCCCTGGAGCGCGAATCCTGTGTAATCTCCGGAGGATCGTTGATCGTTGCCCTGGGAGCGCGAATCCAGCATAAATTTTGAGGAGCCGTGGCCTTGAGAGAGCGACTTCCGCGTAATTTACGAAGGATCGCGGCCCTGGGAGCGCGGACGCCGCGTGATTTACGATGGATCTGTATCTTGGGAGCGCGGACGCAGTGTAGTTTACGAGTGATCGTGGCCCAGGGAGAACGGACGCAGCGCGTAATTTACAAGAGTTCGTGGTTTCAGAAGCGCGGTCCCGTCGTAATGGCTTGGTTCATGGGTCCGCCGTGCGCTGCCTCTTTCTAATTCTGCGGTGTCTGCGGGGGGGGGGAGGGCGGGGGGGAGGCAAGCCGCGTTTTTTGAAACGAAAGAGGGGCCTGCCTGGGAGCGCCCCGCCGTGATGCGTGCGTTTCTGGGGTCCGTGGCGCGTGGCCTCTTTCTGGGTCCGCAGGGTCTGGGGGAGCGATGGTCCAGGGGAGCGGGGGTGGTGGGGGGTCTGTCCTCGTCCCCCCCCGCCGCTCCTGTCCACCTTCGGCGTACCTGCAGCGTACCTTCGCTGATTTGGACACGCGCACCTTCATCGTACCTTCGGCATTCCATCAGTGGCGTTTCTAGTGTTACTTCAATGTAAGATACATGTATACGACTATATATATATGTATGTGTATAAAGACATGGCCCTACATACATGCACACATAAATACATACATACATACATACATACATACATACATACATACATACATGCACGCATACATGCATACATTCATACATACACACATACATGCACACATACATAAATACAAACATGTATGCGTACATGCGGTCAGATATACATGCATATATACATACATGCATACATGTGAACACGCATACACACATATATACATACACGCATGCACACGTACATACGTACGTACGTACGTGCGTGCGTGCGTGCGTACGTACGTACGTACATGCATACATACATTCATACATGCATGCATGCATGCATACATACACATATACAAACATACATGCACACAGGCATACATACACACATACACACATGCATGCAGACATACAGTCACGCGTACATGCGTACGTACGTACGTACGCGCATGCACGCGTGCATGCATGTATGCATGCATGCATACACATACATGCATGCGTATATACATACATGCATGCATACATACATACCTACATGCAGTCATGCATACATAGATGCATACATACATACAGACAGACAGACAGGCAGACATGCATACATGCATCCACACATGCTTGCATGCATGCATACATACATACATACACACACACATATACATACATACATACATACATACATACATACATACATACATACATACATACATACATACATACATACATTCATACCTACCTACCTACCTACCTACCTACCTACCTACCTACCTACCTACCTACGTACATACATACATACATACATACATACATACATACATACATACATACATACATACACACACATGCATACATGCATGCATACATACATACATATATACATACATATATACATACATACATAGACACAGACATACATACATACATACATACATGCATGCATGCATGCATACATACATACATACATACACACACACACACATACATACATACATACATACATACAAACATACATACATACATACATACATACATACATACATACATACATACATACATACATACATACATACATACATACAAAAGTGCGTAAGTACATACATACATACAAAAACACACACACACATGCAAACAAACAAACAAACAAACAAAAACGCGTACCGTCAGCATACACTCGGCGTACCATCAACAAGTGTGTCCGATGTACCTTCAGAATACCTTCGGCGTACCTTCGGCATACCTTCGTAACTTACAGGTGACTGATCGCGAATCCAGCGCAATTTACGACGGGGTCGCGGCACTGGGAGTGCGGAAGCAGCGTACACTACGAGGGACCGTGGCCGTGGGGTAGCGGACGCAGCGTCACTTCTCAGTGATCGCGGCGCCGGGAGTGCGGACCCAGCAAAATTTTACAGTGGATCGTGGCCCAGGGAGCGCGGACGCAGCGTACTCCACGAGGCATCGCGAGGCCCTTGGCATCTCGACTGACCACGGGGCGCCAAGATCCCAGGAGGCGCCAGGTGCTCCGCGAGGCGCCCCTTGGCGCGTCACGTCGCCTGGCACGTTCCCTGGCACGGCGTCCCGTGGCGAGTCCCCCTGGCGTCCCCTGGCACGTCCCCTGGCGCGTCCCTCGGGACGCTCCGCGGCGCATCCCCCTGGCGTGTCCCCGCGGGCATCGCCCAGTTGCGCATGCGATCGAGGTCCTCGGAAACGGCTCCGTGCCTCGCAGCTCTCAGTCCCTGTCCGCGCTCGTGGGCCGATCATGCTCACGGCGCGAGCACGTCTGGGGACAGGCCCCAGCCTCGCGGCCCCGTGCGGAGTTGCCGCTCTTCGGCGCCCGCGGTCCTCTGGAAGGCGGGGGAGAAGTCGCTCCACCTGGCCGACCAGCCACAGCTGGGGGAGCTGCGGTCCTTACCCCCCTGGGGGGAACCAATCGCATCGACGACCCCTCGAGAGGGGCGTCGAGGTCGATGGGCCCCCAGGGGGGTAAGGACCACAGCTCCCCCAGCTGTGGCTGGCCTGCCTGGACGTCTCCCAGCTCGGCCCCCGCAGCACCAGGGCTTCGGCGTCGCATGCCACGGGCTCGGCGCCGCCCGGCCGGACGAGGTCGGCGAACTGGACCTCGGCGAGGCTCCGGGCGGCGCACGGGCAGGCCCCCCCCCGGGCAGTCCCAGGTCCCAGCTGGGCTCGGCACTCCTCCTCCTCCTCCTCCTCCTCCTCCGCCTCCTCCTCCTCCTCCTCCTCCTCCTCCTCCTCCTCCTCCTCCTCCTCCTCCTCCCCTCCTCCTCCTCCTCCTCCTCCTCCTCCTCCTCCTCCTCCTCCTCCTCCTCCTCCTCCTCCTCCTCCCTGGCGCCCCAGGGTTGGGGTGCTGATGGGGCGCACAGAGGCATGCGAATACTATACGTCCTCCTTGTGGAGGCGCACGTCCCGCCCGAACATGCAGTGTACCCATCTTGTAGCACAGCGTTCCCCGAGCGGCGTGGCCAGAAAGCCCCCGCAACGACGCATGTACTAGAAGATTTCTCGGTGCGCGCGTCGCCCCTGGGAGGCGACGCACGTATAGTAGAACTATGTTGGGGTGACGCCGATGTTGAGGCCGCCCTGGCCTACTCGGGGGGCCTGTTGAGGCCAGCCGGGACTACCTGAGGGCCTGCCTGCGCGCCACCCGAAGCCTGTAACCAGCTGGACCTGCAGCATGCGGGTGACCGCGAACTTCGTGCCGCCGCGGCACCGGGCCTTGGACAGGCCCTGCACCCCGCTCTCGTCCTCGAGGTCGCGGGCCAGGGGTCTGGAGGAAGAGGGCGAGGATCGGATCGGATCGGATCGACTCGGCAGGAGAGTGCGCCGTCTGGAGGCCCCTCAATGGGGGGCCACAAGGTTGAAGCAAGATGTTCAAATAAGAGTTGTGGCGGTATTTCTATGCCGCCCTGCCCAGCGGCGAAAAAAAACTGCGGCCTCAACCAACCACCCAGAGCGGGAGGGGGGGAGGAAGGGGGAGGGGGGATGGCTTGGGCGCTCTGGTGGGGGTCGAAGCAGGGTTCTCAGACTTCAAGAGGAGCAGCATCAGCAGAAGCAGGAGGATCAGAGGATCAAGGGCAAGATTACGAGAAACACATTGATAAAAATCGCAGCCGGGTGCACGGCGGAATACACGGGAGCGGGTCATGCCTCCTCCTCCTCCTCCTCCTCCTCCTCCTCCTCCTCCTCCTCCTCCTCCTCCTCCTCCTCCTCCTCCTCCTCCTCCTCCTCCTCCTCCTACCTCCACGAGTCTCCACGACAAGGGCCAGTTATGCATAAACGACTGTATGAGGGAGGAGCACTGCAGGACAGAGGAATCGAGTTGAAGAGGTCGGTAGCGGCTGCTCGTCTCCTGCTTTGGGAGGAGGGAGTTGGATGACGAGGAGGAGAGGGGGAGATGATGAGGATGGTGGAGGATAAGGAAGCGAATGCCGAGGGATGAGACCCAAGAAAGAGGAGGAAGGAGCAGGCGAGAGGAGAAGGGAGGATGAGGTGGAGAGAGATGGGAGGAAGTGAGGAGGAGGAACGAGAGGAAGAGAGAGGAGGAACGAGGAAGGGCACTAGAATGGATGGTCAGGAAGAAAAGGAGAGACGATGAACGAGGACTGGGAGTCGGGGCGGAGCATGTCAAGGAACCCGGGGGAGGATCAAGAGAAGGATGAGCAGCTGGAGAAGGGGGAGAGGGAAAGGCAAAGCAAGGCAACTCTGGGGTGCTGTCATTGTGCCTTCTATCTTGAAACTTTGTACAGAGAGGGAAAGAGGAGGGAGGAGGAAGAGGAGGAGGAGGAGGAGGACGAGGACGAGGACGAGGAGGAGGACGACGAGGACGACGAGGAGGAGAAGGAGGAAGACGAGAAGGGGGGGGGGTAAGGACGAAACGACGAGACGAGACGCTGCAGTACCGCGCCAGGGCGCGGCCCTGCCGAAGGCGCAGCAGGAGGGCCGCGGCCCCTCAAGAGTGGGTGAAGAGGGCTTTCTGGAATGAGGCCTTGCCAGTGGAGCTCCTCACGAGTGTCCTCCTCCTCCTCCTCCTCCTCCTCCTCCTCCTCCTCCTCCTCCTCCTCCTCCTCCTCCTCCTCCTCCTCCTCCAACGCGCCGGCCAAGTTAGGATGCAACTACTGGGAGGTCTTCGCCAGAAGGACTGAGGAGGATTAAGACCCAGAGGGGGGCTGTTACGCCAGATTGGGCCCCGGATGAAGCGGGATTAAGCCAAGTTTGGTGGGATTAAGCCAGATAAAGCAGGATTAAACCGGATTGAGCGGGACTAAGCCGGATTCGGACCAGGGCAAAGCCAGAATTTGACCTCCCAGGAGTTGCATCCGAAGCCAAGGTCACGCAGAAGAGGAAAGTGCTAAGTGCGCACCCTTGCGGCCAGTGCCCTGCGCGACCTAGATCGCGTCGCCGTGCCACGCCCTTGGAGTTCCCTGACTCCGCAGCCAAGCTGAGCGCCTTGAACGCCTGAGTTCCGCTTGATCGAACCTGGGAAATCTCCTCCATACAAGGAGCAACTTCGCCTCAAATTCGGGGCATTTGGCATGCGATAGTACGCGCTGTCGCAGCCGTGATTGATTTGCGCAGCTTGTACACTAGCTCTTAGAAGCCATCAGTCTTACCCAAAGTGTACCACGTACGAAATATTCCGTCTTAGAAGCCATCAGTCTTGCTCCGGTCCCACTACGAAGTTTAACACATAGTGCTCGTCAGAGGGAGCAGCGATACTTGCTCGAAGTCGTGCCTTGACAACTGCGTGCGGCTTCGATTCGGAAATGTTGATCTGCTGTCGATACTACGCTGATCCAGTACTTTGAGCAACACCTCGATGCATTTTGCCTCGTCGTTGGCGTCCCAGGGCAAGTCGATGTCTGCCTGAATGCTCGCGATGAGGCCGTCAGTTGTGGCTTGCGCGTCCTTGATGGGGCATCGTCATCAGATGCGCGCTTTGCCTCACAGCAAAGCTTTCCCCAAAAGCAAATCCCATGTGGACTGATATCATCACGTGTGCTTAACATTCCGCTTGTCAGTTCGACAAACTGATGTACGAAAGCAATTGTTGGGGAACTTCGACGATCTTCTCGATATACAGTAGTTGGGGCACCTCAACATACCACGTGGCCCCTTGCATTACAAACGGCTCCATTGATACAGGATGCTGGCAAAACGCATATCCTGGCAGATCCGCGCGCCAAAATAGGCACTCGATCGCACTGAGCTGGCGAACCATGTCCAGTTCTTCGGCCGGTATCGTGTCCAATGTATGTATGACAATTTCGGCAAGCTTTCTGCGCTGCCATCTCAGATTCGCTCTATGTTGCTACTGTCTGTCGGCGTAACGTTCACCCCTGTGTTTCTCAACCTATGGTCCTGGCAACCACTTGACCTCACAATGCATTTGCTGGCTTTTGCTGGGGCACGCCTCTCGCCACACCCTGCTGATTTCGGCCTCCCTGAACCACCTTGAGCCCTTGCCATCGCTCGGACGTCCATGTCACGTGCATGTTTCGGCTCGTGCGTATATTGCTTCGCGTGATGATCCAAGATGCTCCTCGATGGCCCTCGTCGAGAAAGCATGCACCCGTCCGAGCGATGCCAAAAGGAAGGAGGAGGATGTGAAAAAATCCGCAATCTGCTCCGGGTCGCCCCTGGCTTCTGGCTGAGCCCACGGAGAGCCGAACGCACCCCCGCATCCGCTGAGCAGAGGGGCACGTGCCGCCGGGCACGACGTGGGTCTCGTTCGGCGACGCCCGCCCGCCGTTCCCGTGCGGAGCTCCTGCGGGTCCACGAGTCGCTACATCATGAAGCCAAGAACTGTTGGTCCAGGAATACCAGACACTGAGATTGTGCAGCTTGTCGAGAGAAGGGGCGAGATGGCGGAGAAGACGAGCCAGTGCATCCCCCTCGCCGAGGGCTCGTTGTAGTCGGTGACCGCGCGGCTTCACCGAGCTGGGTCTTGCGCGAGAAACCCGGGCTTCGATGAGGACCTTCTGATAGCACATCTGGGTGCTCCTCTGCCGCATCTGCTGCCCCGCTTTTCGGCGCTCTCGACGACACTGAGCGCCCGCAACGAAGCGGCTCGTGTCGACCAAGACCTGCGCCCCATGCTCCAACGGGCGCATCCATGCCGCGGCGGCGGCTCTATGTAAAGGGGCCCCAGGACACACAAATAAATACACACAAATAAAAATATTCCCTACATTTTCCCATATTTTCTGGGTTTCTGTCTTCCCCCCCACTTCCCATATTTTCCCATATTTTCTAGGGGATCGACGATTAATTGTGTCTGTGTGTTTCTTTTCCTCCTGACTATGGTAGCCCAGACGCATGGCACACGGGCCCGTGGGCTCCGAGGTGCCTTCCCCGCCTGTCGAGCGTGGAGCCGACGGCGCTGTCCGCGCCGTCGGCTCCTCCTCCTCCTCCTCCTCCTCCTCCTCCTCCTCCTCCTCCTCCTCCTCCTCCTCCTCCTCCTCCTCCTCCTCCTCCTCCTCTCCTCCTCCTCCTCCCTCCTCCTCCTCCTCCCTCCTCCTCCCCCTCCTCCCCAGGCCCTCAGGACCGCCCGAGTGCTCCCAGAGGGCACGACCGCTCGGCCCCCGCGGGCCCGCAGAAGAGGCGCACGAAGAGGACAGCCTCCCGCGGAGCTGCTTCGCATGATGTTGGCCGGCTGGGCGGCCACGTCGACCGGGAGCTGCTGCAGGCCTGTCGAGCGTCGGCCACCGATGGCTCGACTTGGCCCGAGCCCCCCCGCCCCCGACGTCGCGACGTGTTCAAGACCATGGACCCCCAGAACTGAAGGGGCCCTGGCACACACAAAGAAATGCATACAAATAAAAAGATTCCCCATATTTTCCTATATTTTCTAGGTTCTTGTCTCCCCCCCACTTCCCATATTTTCCCATTTTTTCCCAGGAATCGACGGTTAGTTGTGTCTGTGTGTTTCTTTCCCTCCTGAAGAACTCTCGACACTTGGAAACATCGACGCCTCCCCCGGGGCCGGCGTCTCATCCCGGGGCGTCGCTTCACGATCCCGGGGCCCTGCACCGTGAACGGCACGCAGAGGCCGAAAACTGCTGAGCAAAGCGTCCATTGCGCCTCTTGGCGACGCAAGCGGGCGGGTCCGGGGACAGCCCGAGATTGCAGCCGCCATGGCATCTAGAGGCATGCGATCGCCGTCCTCGAACGGGCCAACGATCAGGCCGTCGTACTTCAGCAACTTGTACAGGAACTTCGCGTCGGGTCCCGCGCCTGCACCGACGTAGACCTGGCTCCAAAAGCGAGATCCTCCTCCAACCTCCCCACACTTCTTTCTCCTCCTCCTCCTCCTCCTCCTCCTCCTCCTCCTCCTCCTCCTCCTCCTCCTCCTCCTCCTCCTCCTGACCCATCTTCCCGTCATCTCCTCCCTCCCTCCTCCTTCTCCTCCACCTCCTTTTCCTCCTTCCCCTCCTGCTTCCCTTGCTTCTCCCCCACTCGCCTTCCTCCCTCCTCTCCTCCCCCTTCCCCCCGAAGGCTACCCGCACCCCTGGGCGAAGTCAGCTCCGGCGCCGGCTTCCGCGGCGCTCCCGTCAGTACGAACCGCTACTCGCGCCGACTTCAAGGCCTGCTTTGCTGCCTGCAGCTCCGTGAGAGAAGTCGAGCGGCGGTTTCACTGACAGCTTCCAGACCTCCGTCATTCTGTTTGGTGGCCTGGGCCCCCAGCGACCCCACCTCCGGCAGAGGAAGAAACAACGGCATGATAGTAAACCTTTCCGGAGGTCCGCGGAAGTTTTTGGATCGGCGCTGGAGCCCTCTGGCGGTGCCTCCAGCGCCGCCCCAGGCGCGCTCCGCGCGCCAGGGAAGGAGGCCCAACGCCAATACAAGAAGTCCACACGGACCTCCGAAAATGTACAGTCGGGCTGCTGTAATGAGGAACGATAAAGAAGAAACGAAGCCCATTCCTGGAACCGAAAACGCGTCGCCGTCACCGCTACCCCCCTTTCCCTTGGCCCTCCTCGTCGAGCGATCCAGCCAAGCGGAAATCATAAAAACGCCGCAACTGATTCGAAGGGAAGTCCCTTCCCTTTGATCGTTACCTGGCGACGGGGGGGGTAGCAGGGTGTCCCAGGGGGCGTCCCAGGAGGGTAGCGGGGGGGAATCCCAGGGGAGGGGTCCCCGGAGGAGGTAGCCCGCGTCGCGGTCCCGTCGCTGCCTTGTCGCCGCCCGTCGTGTGGGCCGCGTCTTCGGTCTGGCGGCTGTGGCCGCCGTCGCCGCCTGGTCGCCGCCTCGTGCCCGCCCGTGCATTGCTACCCCATGGCATGCATTGCATCACATTGCATTGCTTTGCAGTGCTCGCATTGCATTGCATTGCCTTGCCTTGCCTTGCATTGCATTGCATTGCATTGCCTTGCATTGCATTGCAGTGCATTTCATTGCATTGCATTGCATTGCATTGCATTGCATTGCATTGCATCGCATTGCATTGCTTGCATTGCGTTGCATTGCACTTCGTGGCTTTGCATTGCGGTGCTTTGCGCTGCTATGCGTTGCTACCCATTGCTCTACGTTGCTTTATCTTGCCTGCTTTGCGTTGCTTTGCGATGTTCTGCGATACTGTGTATTGCTTTTGTGCTGCGTTGTCTTGATTTGCCTTGTTTTGCATTGCGTTGCATTGTTTTGCACTGGATTGTTGCGCACAGATGTACAGCATTGCTGAGCACCTAACTATATACACACATACACATGTTCCACAGCATAGCTTGCAACACTAACACCAGATAGATAGCACCACATGGATTGCATCACATAGATTGCACTACATTGCTCACGCCCCATAGATCCGGCCACATAGATTGCACCACAGAGCTTGCACCACATTGCTCATATCACCTAGATGAGTTCGTTGGATCCGCATAATTTGCCCCACATAGCTCACACCAAAAATATTACATCGCATGTGAATGTATATGCATATCAACATCGTATATACACAAATCGCATCACTTGGGTTGCACAACCTAGCTTACACCACATAGATCGCACCACATGGATTACACCACATTGACTGCACTACATAGCTCACGCCACATCTATCACGCCACCTAGATTGCACCACGTTGCTTTGCACCACATGGCTTGCATCATATAGCGTGTACTACGTAGCGTGCCCCATATAGATTGCACCACATAGCGTGCATCATGCATACTGCATCACCTAGTATGTTGAGACCACTACTTGGGGCCCACGCTGACTACAGCCTGTGTAACGCATATTCCTACATATTGCCCTTCTCCTGGGACTCGAACCCGTTGTGATTTACATGTGTTATTATATATTCTCAGTCTCCTGGGGTTCGAACCTTTTTTGTGTGTTACGTATAGTCGTATAGATTGTCCTGGGTTGGGGTTCGTGCCTGTATTGAACGCGCATTCCTATAGATTGCTCCTCTCCTGGGGCTCGAACCCGTTTTGATTTACATGTGTTCTTATGGATGCCCATCATCCCGGGGTCCGAATCCTTTTTGCGTGTTACGTATAGTCCTATAGATTGTCCTGTTTTGGGGCTCGAGCCTGTGTTGAACGCGCATTTCTGTAGATTGTCCCTACCCTGGGGCTCGAACCCGTATAGGTTGCCCTTCTCCTAAGGCTCGAATACTGTTGTCTGTTACGCCTACGTATGGCTATATAATGTCCTGTCTTGGGGCGCGAGGCTCGAGCCCTTCGTATTTACAGCGCATTCCGAAAGATTGCCCCTCCCCTGGGGTTCGAATCTGTAGCGTTCTATAATCATATAGGGTGCCCTTCTCCTGGGGCTCGAATCCGTCGCGTTTTACTCGTTGGTCTATGCATTGCTCCTCGCATGGGGCTCGAACCTGTCGCGTTCGTGTTACATCTATTACTTAAGTTACCACTCTCTTGAGGCTCGAGTCCCCGTGTCATGCAAATATTCCTGTAGCTTCCCCCTCTCCCGAACTCCAATCCGTTGTGTTCTACGCGTGCTCCTGTAGATTGCCCCTCTCCCAGGGCACGAATCCTTCCTCGCACGTTCCGTGGCACGTCCCGTGGAGCGCTCCCCTGGCACATCGCGCGGCGCGGCGCGTCTCCTGGCACGTCCCATGGCACGTCTACTGGCACATTACGTGGCGCGTCCCCTGGCGCGCTGGCGCCTCTCCTGGCGCGTTCCTTGCGACGTCCCCTGGCGTGACGTCCCCTGGCACGCCCCCATGGCAAGCCCCTCGGCGCGCCCCGTGGCGCCTCCCCTGGCTCGTCCTCTGTCGCGTTCCCTGGCTTGTCCCCTGGCGCTTCCCCTGCCCGCTCTGTGGCGCGTCCCGTGCCACATCTCCCGGCTCGTCCCCCTGCGCATCCCCCAATGCACCCCTGGCACATTCCGTGGCAAGTCAATGCGCCCTGCGCCTCGTGTCCTCTTGCCCCGCTTCGGAACTGGTTTGGATGTTGAGCTCGAGCTGCTGGGCGTCCCACACGCTTCGACTGCAACCAGCTCTGGGCCAGCCATGCGCTCAGTCAGCTCCAGCTCAAGATCCAGATCAGTTCGGTCAGGATTCGGATGCACAGGGCGACTTGATTAGAGAGCACGCAAATCATCGCGACACGACATCTCTCATCTCAGCACGACAGAACACGGCACACGATCGATACCTTCAGCATTGCAACTGCCCGTCGCCCCATCGGGTGCCTTGAACATGCTGCCATGCCTCGCCTTTAGGGGGCCATATGTGCCGAACCCTGCCCCTACCCCCCACGATTCCTGAGGGGGTGGGGCTTACTTCGCTCGGGAGCTCCCGAGCGAAGTGAACCCCACTGGAGCTCCCAAGCGAAATGAACCCCACCCTCCCCCTCGGAAATCGCGGGAACTCCCCAGCGAAGTGAACCCCACCCGCCCCCTCGGAAATCGTAGGGGGTGGGGGGGTAGGGTTCGCATGTGGCCCCCTTAGCCTTTCTTAACTCCCTTCCGGATTCGTTGGTCGATTTGCGTTGGCACCAAGAGCGCCTGTGGGTACACGAGCCGGGCAGGAGGAGCAGCTACAGAATGCCCCAAGGAACCGAAAGGTTCCTTCTGAACCTAAAGCAGTCCCTATCTCAGCGTCTTGACATGTTCAGACACATCATCATCATCATCATCATCATCATCATCATCATCATCATCATCATCATCATCATCATCATCATCATCATCATCATCAGCAGCAGCAGCAGCAGCAGCAGCAGCAGCATCATCATCATCATCATCATCATCATCATCATCATCATCATCATCATCATCATCATCATCATCATCATCATCATCATCATCATCATCATCATCATCATCATCATCATCATCATCATCATCATCATCATCATCATCATCATCATCATCATCCGACTCCTCGTCCTCTGTACTTCCTCCTCCTTTCTCCTCCTTTCTCCTCCTCCGCCTCCGCCTCCTCCTCCTCCCCCTCCTCCTCCTCCTCCTCCTCCTCCTCCTACATGTTCAGACAGTTTTTTCTTAGTCGACCCAGGCCAGTTTCTAGCCCTGGGCAGTTTTTGTTGTGGTGGCTTTTAGGGCCCGGCGCTGAAGGCCTCCCAGATGGGATCAGAGTACATGAGATCAGGAGATCGCGCCGCACCGTCGATGCATCACCAGTGCATCAGCGATGCATCGGCGACGTCGGCGATGCCTCGGCGATGCCAGGGTGGTGAAAATCAGGCTCCACGTCGCGCCGCATCGGCATTGCATCGGCGATGTGTGGCGATCTTGGTGGCAACTCACGGGAGCCTCCCATGCCATCTTGCTGGCTCCTGCGAATCGACGCTAACCGATGACAGTCGACGCTGATCGACGCTAAACCGACGCGAATCGACGCTAACTCGGCGCTGTCTCACCGATTACCAGGCGCTGGCGCACGACAATGCACTCAGAAGACGGCACTGCGAGGACAGACAAGGGCCCCCTGAGTTGCTACCGAAGGCGATCCTCCGACCCCCTGTCTGCTCTGACCCCATCCAGAGGTTACTACACCGACGCGGACGCGCCTCTGGGGGCCAAGAACTTTGCTCTGGATGGGGCAGTAATCGCCCGCCCCCACCTTGAATCCGCTGGGGGGGTTGGGCACGTGCTGTCGGCACGAGTGGAGCGGGGGGTGGAGGAGGAGAAGGAGGAGGAGGAGGAGGAGGAGGAGGAGGAGGAGGAGGGGGAGGAGGACGGAGGATTGGGCAAGCTCAGTCGGCAGCTCAATCACAGGCAGATTCTGGAAAAATTGAAAATGTCAAAGAAAAGATTCAAGAACAGTCAAACATGGTCGAAGAATCGCTCCCAGACTATGGTTTCAAACTACTTTTGAAAATCCCTCCTGTAGAAGGACACGCCCGACTTAACCTTAGGTGAACGTTTTCTTTTTCGGCGTTTCGACATTGGGCGGAAGGGGGGGGGAGGGGGGAGGCTTGGCGCTGGACCTCTGCTTCATGCGTCTGCGTGCAACAGTGCGTCCAATGGGGGAGACGGGAGACTCCACCTGCTTGAAACAGGCGCCAAGATCTACTCCATGGGGGGGGGAGGGGGGGGTGCGAGGGCCTGCGCCGATCGGCAAAACAACGAATGATACCGGAGAAAAAACCCAATCAGGGCTATAGGGCTATAGAGCTATAGGGCTATAGAGCTATATGGCTATAGAGCTGTAGGGCTGTAGGGCCATTGGGCTATTGAGGGCTATAGGGCTATAAGGCTATAGGACTATAGAGCTATACGGCACCCCCGGGCACCCCCGGGCACCCCCGGGCACGCCCGGGCACGCCCGGGCACCCGGGCACCCCCGGGCATCCCCCGCAAGCTCTGATTGCCGGAGAAGGAGGGGGAGGAGGAGGAGGAGGAGGAGGAGGAGGAGGAGGTGGAGGAGGAGGAGGAGGAGGAGGAGGAGGAGGAGGAGGAGGAGGAGGAGGAGGAGGAGGAGGAGGGAGGAAGACAACGATCGCCTCAGGAGAGCGCGGCCGCCACCTGTCTTTCGGAGGGGGGCAGCACGCCTCGTGGCGTCGCTCGGGCGGGGTGCTCGGCGGCCGCGCCCGAGGAGGAGGAGGGGGGGGGGCGGGGCGGCGCGAGCCCGCAGGCCTCCTCGGAGGGGCGGCAGGGCTTCTCCCCCGGCTGCCACGCGGGGCTCCTGGGGCGCCTCCCGTGGCTGTGCATTCAGGTCGGGCCTGTCCCCCTTCGGGCTGGTGCTGAGCGCACAGTGAAAAATACTCAAATCAATATATTCAAATAGATTCAAAAATAGTAGCAAAAAATCGTCCCCTGACTATTGTTTTAGCTCCTCTTGTAGAGGGACACGCCCGCCTTCACCTTCGGATGGAGGGCAGAAGCTCCACACCCATAAGAATCACCCCGACACGCGAAGCCGTTTGGTGAACGCACCCTCAGAAGGAATCGAACAGGGCAGGGCTGGTTAGCAAACGCCCAGGGCCGTTGAGCAAGCGCCAATGATCGGGTCCAGGTGGTTTTTCCTCCCTTGATTGGAGGAGGCTCAGAGAGCCTCGCGGAAGGCCAGAGGCCTTCTGAGCCCTCTGGGAAGGCCCGCCCTCTCTCTCTCTCTGGACCAGACGGAGCAGACGACACCGCCCAACCAACGCCCCCACGGGGCTCAGCGCACACCATGAGATCTGGCGCGGACCGTTGTGCGGTGCACGCCACGGCCCCCGGTGGGCCGCAGTGCAAGATGGAGGGCCACAGGTGGGATGGTGCCGCTTCTTTTTGGGGTCGACTCTCTCTGCCATCCCTCCCCAGGCGCGCCGCCGATGCGTGGCCGGACCCTGGCCCCTGCGAAGTCTTCGGGCCGAGCCTATTGACCTACGCGGCCGAGGCCCCTCAGCGGTACTTGATGAATCCGATCTCCGTCGCCTTCTCGCGGAACTCCTGGCGCTGGTTATCGCTGTGGTCGTTATCGGTTATCGGTATCGCCTCTCGCGGAACTCTGATCGTCATCGCTGCTATCGTGATCGTTATCGCTGTGATCGCTATCGTTGCGATCGCTGTGAACGCTATCGTTGTGATCGTTGTGATCGTTCTCGTTGTGATCGTCATCGTTGTGATCGCTGTGATCGTTGGGGCTCCTGGCGCTTCATCATGATGCCGTACTTCCGGATGAGGCCCATGCCGCCCGGGCGGCCGGACATCCGGGAGCAGCGGGAGCCCTTGGAGCCCGGGATGCCGCGGACTGGCGGGTTGAAGGGGTTGCGCACCACCTCCTGCTTCTGGGAGCCGCCGACCAGGCCAGTGTGACCGGCAGTAAAGTGGACGTTCACAGCCTCCTCAGTGGAAGACTCAAGCGGCATGAGCGAAATTGTTCGAAGCTCCGCGCGGATGTCTTGGATCAGTGCTGCACCCCCCCCCTACCGCGGGGAGCGCGCCGAGGGGGCGGCGCAGGAGGCGCCGCGCCAGGGGCCCCACGCCGATCCAGGACATCCGAGTGGAGTGCCGAGAGTTCATGCTCGTGCCGCGTTGTTCTTCCTCGACTCCTCGCCGTCGTAGCCCTCCTCCTCCAGGGTGAGCGCGTCCTTGAGCACCTTGCCCCTGAAGATCAGCCTCATGTGCTCGGGCTGGACGGTGCACTCCTCGGCCACGGCCCTCTTCACGTCGCGCACGGCCGCCGCACGGTCGAGCTCGATCGCGAAGGCGGCCGTGCCGGGCACCCTGAAGTGCACCGTCGAGAGCTCGCTCGCGCTGTCGGTCTCCTCCAGGCTGAGCGCGGCCATGGTTCCCGCGAGCTCGGCGGCCATCCTGGCGGTCTGGGTGGTGGTGCTGTCGGGCCTTCGGGTGTCGGTGTGCCTGCTGTGTGACGCCGAACCACAAAATGGCTACGGATCGGCCGTCGTGTTTTTTCCGTGGGCGCATGGGGTATGAGCCTTCGATTCTCGAGACTCTGTTGTATCTTTGGGAGACCTCGTCTGTCCCATTGCGCCAGCCATCCGTGAATCCATGTCGAAAGCGTCGAATCCGTGTCGCATCCGTGTTGAATCCGTGCCCAATCCACGCCGCATTCACGCCGAGTCCGCGTCGAACCCGCGCGCAACAGAAGAGAAGACCACCACTTTCAGGACAAAGTAAAGGTCCCCCGAAGATGCAAAGTCATCGAGGGAGCCATCGTCGCGCAGGAGAGCGGCGCCTCTCGAGGCCCGCCCTGCCAGAGTGTCCCGCGGAATCGTGGTCCGCCCCATCCTCCTCCTCCTCCTCCTCCTCCTCCTCCTCCTCCTCCTCCTCCTCCTCCTCTTCCTCCTCCTCCTCCTCCTCCTCCTCCTCCTCCTCCTCCTCTTCCTCCTCCTCCTCCTCCCGGCGCGTCCACTGCACCCCCGCAGTCGCGGCCTCGCACCGTCGTCACAAAGTGCCCCCGAGATCGTGAAGGCTGCACACCTGACTGACCCTGCCCGCCACCGCGCTGTGTCGCGGTCCTGTCGGCGGCGAGGACAAGGGCGGATAGCCCAGGGGCGAGCATCACACGCATTCGCCCGGGAGCCTCGTCGAAGACATAGGTAGGGGGCCACATGCGAACCCTGCCCCTACCCCCCACGATTTCTGAGGGGGGGGGGGTTCACTCCGCTCGCGAGCAAAGTGAACCCCACCCTCCCCCTCAGAAATCGTGGGGGGTAGGGGTAGGGTTCGCATCTGGCCCCCTAATGGATCATCGGCGCCTCTGGATACGTGTATTGCTCCCCCGTGGGATATTAGCCCCGATCGTCGCCTCCGATCTTGTGTTACTCTCCTGCTCCTCGGAAGCGGCCAAGAGGGGGGTGTCCAAGAGGGGGGGGTGCAAATCATGACCGGCGGCATGTGCGCGGCCCAGCGGGGGGGCCAGGGACGTAATGAAATAAGAAGAGGCGCCATGAAATCTGAGGAAATATCATGGCCCCCGCCATGATATCCACCCCCCCCTAGTCATCACCCCCCTCTTTGCCGCTCCCGAGCTCCCGCTCCCTGCGCGGGAGCGGCTGCCCGGTCCTGCACGGGCACGCCACACAAAGAGGCCAGGCGCGTGCTGCACGAGGTCTCGGCTGCAGGCGTCCCGTCTGCCCAGAACCAGGACCTGGACACGTCCGAAGCTCACGTGAGGCGCTGGGTGGAAGCCTCGGCCTTCACAGCATCCCTCCACGCACTCCGTCGCTCCTTCGCCGCTCCTACCCAATGCCCTCCCTCACACGCAGCGAGGTGCTGGCACAGCATCGCAGCCGAACGAGCGTTCTGTTTCTGTGGTCACAGTGCACACCATCGATCGCATCGGATTGACACTTGGACTTGCGCAACCACGGCCAGGGCACCCTGTCGAACTTCATGGACTTATCTATGTTGATGTTGAAGCAGTTGCCGCACACAAACTGGACCTCTGGAAGGTCGATGGCCTCGGAACGGTGATGCAAAAGAAAAGGCTGACTTGCCAGCCCGCGAACACCTGGACGACAGCATTAACCCACGCCCCGGTGGGAAGGAGGAAGCGCATCGCAAGCCGACAGCGAACAACTCCCCCCCTTCCATCATCCCGCTGCCTTACAGAAAAATTACTCCAGATTTCGTAATAAGAGGGAGGGGGTCTGGACCCTCCAAGACAAGCCACTTCAGGCCCCCCCCCGTGGGAGAACCCTCCAAAACATCGTCCCCAGACCCCCCCCCAGGCCCTCCAAGATGGCTTGGAAGAGACCCCCCCCGAAATGAGACCCCCCTCCCTTTATTGCGAAATCTGGAGTATCCGCGTCGCGCCTCTGCGCGTGCCCGTGGCGCGATCCGGGCGTTCCGCCCGAGACCGCTTCGCCGTGGACGCTCCCAGGGCTCACGACGCTGGGCAGCTGCACGGAAGGAGGGCGGGCCGGGGATGAATCGTCGACTCTGGACAGGTGCACGGTGGAGGAAGGAGGAGGAGGAGGAGGAGGAGGAGGAGGAGGAGGAGGAGAGACCAGTATGAGGAAGACGTGGAGCGGGACAGGCCGTTGGTCAGGCTGTCGATGAGACAGAGGAGCCATTGTCGAGGCAAGTGCGCGTGCGTCGGTGGTGCAGCCGTTCAGTGTGGTCGTGCCGGGCCTGTCCGTGGGGCTGCGAGGGGCACGAACAGTAGGATCGTCGTGTGAATCCTGCTTCTTACCCTGGA